ACGTGCGTTTAGGGGGGGGGTCTCCAACGTGAGTCTCAGCATGCTTGCGCTCGGCCCGTGTTTGGACATGCTTCTGGCCACGACGGGGCCGCGGGCGAGGGACCCAACTCAGCTAGCCCGCCGGACCCTTCACGCGTGGAAGCACGTGCGCGGAGGGGGGGGGTACGGTCAACCAGAGGCACTTCCCAGCCCCCCCCCCCCACCCCTTGGGGGCTTGAACGGCCATCCTCCCTCCTCCTCCTCCTCCCTCCTTCCTCCTCCTCCCCTCCTCCTCCTCCTCCCTCCTCTTCTTCCTCCTCCTCCTCCTCACCCTCCGCTCGCCTCCGCGACGGGGGGGAGGGGGGGGGGGGGGCAACGTGGGCCTGGCGCGCGCGCGCGCGGGCACGCGCGTTTTTTCACGCGTCCACGGTCCCTGGCGAGGGACCCAGCTTCGCCCGTCAGATCTTCCACCTGGCATCGCTCGGACGTGTGTTTTTTTTCTCGGCGAGAACCACATCGAGGACGATCCTGGACCCTCGAGCAAAAAAAAAACACACACGCACGAAACCGAAAAAAATGCACGGGAAATGGACGTCCGAGCGATGGCGAGTGATTCACCCATAGACGTGCGTGCGCTGCCGAGGGGGGGGGGCCTAAAGTGGTGCGCCTGGCGCGTGCGCGCGGGGCACGCCTCTTCACGTGTCCACGGCCCCCATCACAAGACGTGCGCGGACGGGCTGGGGACCCAACGTGCGCCAGGCGCGCGCGCGCGCGGAGCACGTGCTTTCTTATGTGTCCACGGCCCCCAGCAAGGGACCCAACCTGAGCCCGCCGGATTCCTTAACACGTGCAAGTGCGTGCGCGGAGGGGGGAGCCCCAAATGCGCCTCGCGCGCCCGCGCGGGGAGCGTAGTTTTACGCGTCCACGGCTCCCATGGGGGGATCCATTTTGGGTCCGTCGGATGCTTTACACATGGAAGTGCGTGTGCGGAGGGGGTGCGTGCGCGGGGCATACATTGTCACGTGTCCACGGCCCCCAGCGCGGGACCCACGTGTCCCCGGCCCCCAGAGGGGATCCAATGCGTTTCCGTCGGCTTCTCTTTTACACGTGGAAGTGCATGCGCGGAGGAGGGGGGCAACATATGCCTGGCGCGTGCGCGCAGCGCACGCATTTTCACGTGTCCACGGCCCCCAGGGCGGGACCCAATTTGGTCGCGTCGGGTTCGCCACACGTGTGCAGGCGCCAGCGTGCAGGAGGAAGATAATGTGGTGGCAGAAAGAGGTTGATGAGGAGGAGGGAGGAGGAAGGCGTAAGGAGGAAGGAGGAGGAAGGATGACGAGGAGGAGGAGGAGGAGGAGGAGGAGGAGGAGGAGGAGGAGCAGGAGGACGATGAGCAGGACGTGCAGGAGGTAATGGCTGCAGCCAGAAGAAAAGTGGACTCGAGTTCCTTACCGGGTTCGTGGATCCCCTCAAGTTTGTTCTTTCAGCCTTAGGGGACACGGTGCTTCAAGCAATGCAGATCCAACCTCGGAGCCCTTCCTGTCCTTGGGGCCCCATCCCTCAGGGCCGCAGCTGCCCTGAGACACCCGTTTAGAGTTTAGAGACGCAACACGTACCGTGTTCAAAACGTCCGTGTCAATACGCTGCGTGGCGGCTCAATGTGTTGGCCCACACTCTGGCGAACGTATCGCGCCAGACCCGCGTTTCCTGTTTATTTTTGCTGAGCTCCGCGTCAACACGCTACGGGTTGCGTGTTGCGTACTGGGGCAGCTAAGCTCAGGGCCCCATCCTTGAACCGCCGAGCTTACTGGTTGCCGGACCCGGCGCCGGCAGCAAGCTCGCAAAGGCGGAGGGGCTCGGGAAGCAGGTGTGGGACGAGGCGAAGTTCAAGCGCGCGGTCGGCCTGTGAGGCTTCAGAGAGGAGGAGGAGGAGGAGGAGGAGGAGGAGGAGGAGGAGGAGGAGGAGGAGGAGGAGGAGGAGGAGGAGGAGGAGGAGGAGGAGAAAGAGCAAGAGCAAGAGCAAGAGAAGGAGGAGGAGGAGGAGGAGGAGGGGAGGAGGAGGGCAATGAGAGAAGATAATCAGGAGAAGTAAGGAAGAGAAGGAGGAGGAGAAGGATAATGGAGAGGGAGGAGGAGGACGAGGAGGAGGAGGAGGAGAAGGAGGAGGAGGAAAAGGAGGAAGTGCGGCACCCGTGGGACGCCACAGGTGAGTTCCGCCGACTGCGGACTGGCCCGTCGCTAGACGCGGGTCCAGCTGCCATATGTTTGCACAAACGCATGACGGCGGCACATGCTCCCGTCTCGATTGCTTTCAGCTGTTTCCAGCACAAGGAGTCCTCTTCCTCGTCATCATCATCGTCCTCTCTCTCCTTCCCATCCCCATCCAAACACGTCTTCCTCATCCTCATCCTCCCTTACTACTCTTCCTCCTCAATCCCCGCCGTTCCACCCGTCGTCCTCCCTGTCTTCCTCATCCTCTATATCCCGCCTTCCTTTCTCGTCACCATCCTCATCTTCATTATCGTCTTCCTTCTCCTCGTCCCGCTTTTGCTCACCCTCGTTATCCTTGTTTCTGCCTCATCCTCCATTATTTCTGATACTGTTGCTGTCCCTCCTCCTCCTCCTCCTCCTCCTCCTCCTCCTCCTCTCCCTCCTCATTATCATCAGCATCAGCATCCTCATCACCATCATCATCATCATCATCATCATCATCATCATCATCATCATCATCATCATCATCATCATCATCATCATCAACAACAACACCATCAGCATCATCATTATCGTCAGTATCACCATCATCAGCATCGTTTTCGTCGTCAGCGTAGGCAGTAGCATCGTAAACATCGTCGACATCGTCGACATTGTCGTCATCGCCGTCGTCATCGTCATCATCCTCCTCATCATCATAATCAATAGCAACAGCCTCATCGTTATCAGTATCATTTTCATATCGCTATCAGTATCATTACCATTACCATTAGCAACAGCACACTCCTCGTCCTCCTCCTCCTCCTCACCATCATCATCATCATCATCATCATCATCATCATCATCATCATCCTCATCATACCCACCATCATCACCACCATCACCAGTACCAGCATCACCATCACTGTCATCATCATCACCATCATCAGCACCATCATCATCACCAGTACCATCATTACCACTGTCATCAGCACCATCATCATCATCACCACCATCATCACCATCATCACCATCATCATCATCGTCATGATCGTCAGCACGATGATTATCAGCACCACCACCATTAACACCAGCAACATCATCATCATCAGCATCATCAGCGTCATCATTATCAGCAGCAGCATCATCTTCATCAGCTTCATCATCCATGTTTTCTCTAAGACTGGGACGTTAGGCATTTGCGCGGTGACATTTCATTGAGGCGGTGCCACCTTCACAGGCGACGCCGTGTATTCGGTGACACAGTGGCGCCACTGCATGGCTGCCTCTCATAGACACTCACGTGGACATGCTCTTACGACGTACTCAGCGACGCATGCTAAAATGGCTTGTGATTTCAGCAACGCATGCTAACGCGTGCTCAGGAACGCATGCTAACGCGTGCTCAGTGATGCGTGCTGCATTACATATCATTAAGTGTCGAAGCGCCACGCGAGTATCCAGCACACCATGGCCACCGAAGCTGCTGCCAACTCTGCCCATCCACGAAACGATGCCCGCAGAAACGGCGAGGGAAGTCAGGACGACTTCGACGCCTGGGGCGATGCGTGGGAGGGCTCCAGCTGCCCGTTCCGCTGCAGGTCGCGCGTTTCGCAAGGCGTTTCGGCGTGGACGGTCGTGTGCCTTCGAGCCCGACTTGCGATTGGCACGGCGGGCGGCAACTCCACACCGCCGCACGTGGACCAGCCTCGCTGCGGCTCGGGAGCCTGCTGCGCACGACAGGCGACCAGCGCGACGCAGACTCGGCGGGCGGCGCAAGCGGTGGCGCGACGACATACAGTCGGGGCCCTGAAGAAGGAACCCTTTTCGTCGGGGAGGGGCTCGGTGTTCCTTGATTGTTCTGCATTTAGCCTTTTGTTTTCCTGAGGTTTTCCATGGGAAATCGAAGCTCAACTTCTGGGAGGAAGGGGCCCCGTTCCTTACTTAGGGTTCCTTAGATCAACGCCCCGACTGTATCTCAGCTCATACAGGCCGCCAATGGGGCTGCCACCAGAAGCATTGGCTGGACACTGCCGGCGTCCCCTCACCGTGGGGCGGCTGGGAGAGCGACTTCCTCGTCCACGTGCGCCTCTGGGGAGGTCTCCGACCCCCCCCCCCTCCCCCATGGGCTGCTCCCGAGGGGCCTGCTGTCAGCTGGCCGACGGACTCGCTCGCGCGTCTTGCGTCGTGCGCCCTTGCTGTCTCTTGCGCACCCCACCTGCGCTGTCCTCCCCCCTCTTCTATCCCACCGTCCCTGCGCACCCTCCCTGTCTCCTCCCTCGCCCTGCGCACCCTCCTTCCTGTGCCGTCGCCCCCCCTCCCCCCAAACCCCTCTCCAGCCATCCCCTCGCTCTTGGGGAGGAGGAGGAGGAGGAGGAAGAAGAAAAAGAAGAAGAGGAGGAGGAGGCGGAGGAGCAGGAGGAGCAGGACAACTACCTATCGACCACCCTTCGGTTGATAAGGAGGCTAGGGGGGTCGGGGAGGGAAAGACCAACTGACGACAACTGCGATGACTTCGACGGCGCCAACGATGCACGATGCCGCCGACCGTGAGGACACATCGTGGCCGCAGTAGCAAGTGGGGCACTGGCGATGCTGATGGTGGGAATGGGGCACTGCCGAAGCGCTTTGTGACATCATCGCGGTGATGCAGGCAGCGTGTTGCCACTGCTCGTTCGAAGACGAGCCTCCTCTGTGCTCGCCGCGCCACAGACCAGCGCTCCTCGGAGACCCCCCCCGGCCCGGAGGCCGCCCAGCCCCCGGCTCTGCTTCGAGGTCTGCCCTGCGGGCGCCCGCCTTTGCCAGCGGCCCGCGACGGCGAGCACGCGCGCGTCTCTGCTTCCAAGTCTGCCCCGCGGGCGCCCGCCTTCGCCAGCGGCCCGCGACGGCGAGCACGCGCGCGCTCCGGAAGAAGCCCCGCGAGCCCGAGAACGGCGAAAGACGGCGACGACGACGACGACGACGTTTACGACGACGACGACGACGACGACGACGACGACGATGACGACTTTTACGACGACGACGGCGACGACGGCGAGGGCGACGACGACGACGACGACGACGACGACGTTTACGACGACGACGGCGACGACGGCGAGGGCGACGACGACGACGACGACGACGACGACGACGACGACCGAGCGGAGCGGGGTCCGCCGGACGTCCGCCTCCACGCCCTGCGGAGGCTCCTCGAAGCACGCCGCGGCCGTGTAGGGAGCGTCCGGGGTCTTCATGTGCGGGTCTCCTCCTCCTCCTCCTCCTCCTCCTCCCCCTCCTCCTCCTCCTCCTCCTCCTCCTCCTCCTCCTCATCATCATCCTCATCCTCATCCTCATCCTCATCCTCATCCTCATCCTCCTCCCTCCCTCCCTTCCCTCCCTCCCCCTTCCTCTCCCTCCTCCCTCCCTCCCTCCCTCTCCTCCCTCCCTCCCTCTCTCCTCCTCCTCCTCTTTCTCCTCCTCCGCCTCCTCCTCCTCCTCCTCCTTGGGTGAGCTCGAGCTCCAAGGACTTGCCTGCGTACCCATCCACACAGTCGGAAACCGGAACGTGTACAGTACCAGTGGCGGGCGGTTTTTCAACCCCAGTTTCTTTCTTGAGGGTCGGGGACGACGTCGGGGTGGTGTGGTGTATACGTGCTTCCCAGTCTTCCCGTGGGAGCAACAACACATGTATACACCAGGATGCCGTATACACCAGAATCCGTTTTTCTTGTGCGAATCTCAGTGCGGGACCGGAGAAAAAGCATCGGTGTAGAACGTTCGGTTCCCTACCTCGACCAACACGTCCTGCTCCATGCAGTGGTCACCGCGCGTGCGCCGCGAGCGCCTCGAGGTCTGCCAATGCGGCGCTCGCTCTCGGAACCCTGGCCAGGGCATCGAGGAGCTGCTGGCCACTCATGACGCCGGCAGGGCCGAGCTCCCGCGAGCACCGCTCTGGATCCGTCGCCATGCTTGAGCCGTTGCACCTGCAGCCGCTCAGAGCGTGAATTGACTGCCCCGCTTTCGCTTCCAGGCAGAACCAAGTCATACCATACGCTTCCTCGTCAAGCGGCCTGACCAGTACATGCCGTAGTTTGGCATCGCTCGGTATCTCTTGGAAGCGAGGGTGGTCAAAAGCGAGGTAGGTTTGTTTGCCCCCTAACCGCGAAGCACCATATGGAGCCCCGCTGGCGGAGCCTGGCGGCGCGGGAGCACTCGCCTACAGGCGCGCACCACCCTCGGACATCGCGAAGAGGCGGCGGAGCTGATGGTGCGTCAGGGTGGCTTGAGCCACTCAACTGCGATAGCAATGATCGCCATCGCCACGCTGATTGCAATGCCTGGGATGCTCGCTCGAGCGGCCTCGATGCCACTGTCGACCTTCTATCGCTCCCGCGGTAGAAACGCATATCTCATAATCGAATTCACAAACGACCTCGCACGAGATCCCGCCATCGATCTCTCTGTCTATCTCACTATCGGCATCGTTATCGAAATCTCTATCTCTCTGTTAATCACTATGGATACCACTATCGAGCTCCCTGTCGAGCCCTCGTCGATATCAGTATCGATCTCGCCATCGGCCTCGGAATCGGTCTCACGATCGACCTATCGATCTCACAATCGGTCTCACGATTGATCTCACCATCGATCTCACAATCGACTTCACCACAAACATCACGATCGATCTCCCGATCGACCTCACCATCGATCTCACTATCGACCTCACCCACGCGCCACCGACGGGGCACCCCCCGACACCGAGGAGGCACCCCACCACCACCGATGGGGCACCCCCGCATCACGGGCGGGGCACCCCCGCGCCACCGACGGAGCATCCCCGCACCGCCGGCGGGGCACCATGATCGATCGCACCATCGGTCTCACAATCGGACTCACGATCGATTGCATGATCGATCTCACAATCGATCTCACCACAGAATTCACTATCGATCTCACTACGGACCTCACTATCGATGTCACCATCGGTATCATCATCGATCTCCTTGTCGTTCTCATTATCGCCCCACCGACGGGGCACTCACCGCCACCACGGGGCACCACCGGCGGGGCACCCCCGCACCACCGACGGGGCACGCCCGCGCCACTTGCGGGTTACCCCGCGCACCCGCGCGCCCGGGAGGGGGGGAACGGTCAAACAGTTCCACGGCCCCTAGCCACGGCGGCATCATTCCTGTCCCGCGCTCGCGCAGCTTCGCCTCGCCCGCACGCACGACACGAGCACGCAGCCGAAATCGATTTCCCCGTGGGGAGCTCTCCGTTCCACTGCGATCTCCCCCCCAAACGTCCGATAATTAGAAGCGGGCGGATGGGGCGGGCGGGGAATGAGAGGCTGATGATGTCGAGGGTAGTGATGATGATGATGTTGATGTTGATGTTGATGTTGATGATGATGATGATGATGATGATGATGATGATGATGATGATGATGATGATGATGATTATGATCATGATGATTGGTCATTGATGATTGATGATTGGTGATTGATGATTGATGGTTGATGGTGATGATTATGATGATGATGATGTTGATGACGATGATTATGGTGATGATGATGATGATGCTGACGATGACAAAAATGACGGTGATGCTGATTTTGATGATGAGCATGATGATGCTTATGATGACGATGCTGCTGATCACGACAGTGATGATGAAGATGGTGGTGATGGTGCTGGTGATGGTGATGATGATGATGATGCTGGTGGCGATGATGATGATGATGCTGGTGATGATGATGATGGTAATACTCATGATGAGGATACTGGTGATGATGATGAAGTTGATGATGATGCTGATAATGTTGATGTTGATGCGGACTATGATGATGCTGATGATGATGATGATGATGATGATGATGGGTGTGTTGAGGATGATGATGACGATTGCGACGACGACAGTGATGATGATGGTGATGACGATAACATGCTGATGATGGTGATGATGATGATGACGACGATGATGACGGAGATCATGATGATGATGATGATGATGATGATGATGATGATGATGATGATGATGATGATGATGATGATGATGGTGGTGGTGGTGGTGGTCGTGGTGGTGGTGGTGGTGGTGGTGATCATGATGATGATGATGATGGTGGTGATGATGATGGTGAGGAGGAGCAGGAGGAGGAGGAGGAGGAGGAGGAGGAGGAGGAGGAGGGATGCGGAGGAGGAGGAGGGATGCGGAGGAGGAGGGGGGAGGCGGAGGGTCACGGCCCGCTTTGTTTCTTTCCCCGCGGCCCCCTGGTCAGGGACAAAAACAGCGCGCGGTGGGGCACATCTGCCCCCCCCGGCGAGCAGCGATCGACGGGTGCCAGATCACCACCCAGACCCCCTCGAGTAATGAAAAAATCACGACGGGAGGTTTTTCGCCATTTTCGGCCTCGGGGGGCCCTCGCCGGGCCTCGGGAGCGTCAAAAAACGACTCAGGAGGACAAACCGGTCCTGGGGAAGAGGTCGAGAACTCTGGGGTCGACGAAATGAAAAATTCATTACGTCGGGGGTCTGGGCAGGCAGGCAGGCGACGTTTCAGTCGGCGCCTGTAGCCCGCCCGCAAGGCGATGCTCCTGGCCTGGTAGCTTTCGGGTCATAGCTCGGGCCTCCGGCGGCCGTTCGGGACGATCCGAAACCAGAGGGAGGGAGGGCGGGAGGGAGGGAGGGAGGGAGGGAGGAGGAGGAGGAGGAGGAGCACGGGGAGTTCTCGGGCCATGGCTCCGGCCTCCGGCGGCCGTTCGGGACGATTCGAGCACCCCAGGAGAGCTCTCGCGACGAGGCGCCGCCTGCCGGGCAGCCTCCCGAGGCGCGGGAGCCTCCAGGAGGCACCGGAAACGTCCTCGCCCCTCCCCGCTTCGATGCTGGCATCCCGCCGTCGCAGGTCGTCGCCTCGCCGCCTCGTCGTCGTCCGTCGTCGTCGACGTCGCCGCCGCCGCCGTCATCGTCGCCGCCGCCCTCGCCGTCGTCGTCGTCGACCGTCGCCGTCGCCGCCGCCGCCGCCCTCGCCGACATCGTCGTTCGTCGTTCGCCGTCGTCTTCGTCATCGTCGTCGTCGTCGTCGTCGTCGTCGTCGTCGTCGTCGTCGTCGTCGTCGTCGTCGTCGTCGTCGGCGCTGCCGCCGAGGGGGCCGCCCCCGCCCGCAGGAGGCGCAGGCCGCGGGCCCAGAGCGCCCGCCAGGCGCGCGGGGCGCCGGGCTGGAGGCGCAGGCGGGGGCGGAGGGAGGGAGGGCGGGAGGGAGGTAGGGAGGGAGGGAGGGAAGGGAGAGAAGGAGGCAGGAGGGAGGAGATGAGGGGAGGAAAAGATGGAGGAGGGAGGTGGGAGGAGGAGGAGGAGGCGGAGGAGGGAGAGGGAGGGAGGAGCGGGTGGATGGGCAGGAGGGAGGAGGAGGAGGGAGGAGGGAGGAGGGTGGGAGGAGGGAGGAGGAGGGGAGAAGGGAGGCGGGAGGAGGAAGGACGGGAGGAAGGGGAGGCGGGAGGAGGGAGGGAGGGAGGAGGGAGGGAGGAGGGAGGAGGGACAGGGGGAGGAGGGAGGAGGGAGGAGGTAGGGGAGGAGGGAGGAGGGGAGGAGGGTCGGGAGGTGAGGGAGGGCGGGAGGGAGGGAGGGAGGTAAGGGATGATGACGGTAATTGAGAGGGGAGGAGGAGGAGGAGGAGAGGAGGAGGCGGAGGAGGAGGAGGAGGAGGACGGTTGGAGGTTAGGAGGTAGGAGGTGGAGGAGGAGGAGGAGGAGGAGGCGGAGGAGGAGAGGAGGAGGAAGGAGGAGGAGGAGGAGGTGGAGGAGGAGGAGGAGGCGGAGGAGGAGAGGGGCAATGGCAGGGGGGAGTGTAGGATGGAGGGAGGGAGGAGGGAGGAGGTTGGAGGTAGAGGGAGGGAGGAGTGACCTCCTTCTCCTCCGTCTTCTGCTCCTTACCCACCTCCCCCTCTTCCTCTTCCTTTTCCTCCTCCTTCTTATCATCCTCCGCCTTCTCCTCCTGCAGCTCCTCCTCCTCCTCCTCCTCCTCCACCTCCTCCTCCTCCTTCATTCCTTCTCCTCCTCCTCCTCCTCCTCCTCCTCCTTCTCCTCTTCCTCCTCCTCCTCCTTCTCCTATTCCTTCCCTCCTTCTCACTGCTCCTCCGTCCGATGAGGAGGAGGGAAAGGAGAAGAAGGAGGAGGAGTAGAAGGAGGAGGAGCAGGAGGAGGAGGATGAGGAGAAGGAGGTAAGGGAGGAGTACAGTCGACCCGCAGGCTAAGGATGGGCAACCTTCCCAAGGTGACCCTTGCATCCTTGCCTCCTTGACCCATCCTTGGCCCCTTTCGTTGGCCGCGCCCCGCTCGAAAAGCTTCGGAGTGAGCGTCCAAGGCCCCTGCATCCTTATCGCGCAGGAGAGGGAGAGGAGGGCCCAGTCCCTCCCTCTGCTCGTGCACCACCTGTACTGCCACCACACGCGCAGACCGACACACCGAGGCACCGATTCTGACATCAAGGACCTTGGACACCGCCGTTGGGGTGCTGCTGTGCGTCATGGGGTCAGCTCGACTTTGACGCGGAGCGCAGGGGCGATGCCCTAGGCCCCTCGCTGGTCGGAGCTCGTGTCGGTGGAAAAACGGCCTTCCTGTTGTACCTCATCTCATAGCTGTGTAGACATCTCGCACTGCATAACATCCAGACGTGCCAGATTCAAGAGGCCACGGCGTCGCCCGCCTGGTCTCGGCCAGGCCCGGACGTTTTCCGCAGCGTTGGTCTCTCGTCCCCCCTCTGACTCCTCCCCCTCCTCCCAGGAGGAAAGGAGGAGGAGGAGGAGGAGGAGGAGGAGGAGGAGGAGGAGGAGGAGGAGGAGGAGAGAGGGCGCCTCGAGACGATGTTGCTGGGGCGGGCCAGGCCAGCGGTGTCCGAGACGAGTCCGTCGACTTGCGTCTCTCGCAGGGGCGCAGGGGAAGATCACGCTTCGTCTCGTGGCCTTGGTCGCAGAACAGCCATTCCCTGGGGAGCGCCAGAACAACTGACCTTGCTTGTCGACTCACGCGCGACCCTCTCCGCCGCCTTGCTTCTCATCCGTCTGCGTCTTCGCCGGCGAGGCGGAAGCAGAGGCGGCGCCACCGGCAGCGTGCAGCGCAGACGGGACGGAGGACTCTGCGGAGCCGCCGTGCCTCCTCCTCCTCCTCCTCCTCCTCCTCCTCCTCCTTCTCTTTCTCCTTCTCCTCCTCCTCCTCCTCCTTTTCCTCCTCCCAAGCCTTGCAGGAGTCAAGAGCAGTTGATGCTGTGGGAAGGGGAGTGGGCTGGCCCACCACCCAGGCGACTTGGCACCAGCCATAGATTGCTGGCCCTTCAGGCCTCCACCCCCGAGATTCAAGTCCTCGCGGGAAGCTGGCGGTACCAGCTGTACCACTCGTCGTCTGGAGGCCGATGCGTTGGTGGGGGCTGGGAGGGTCGATCCCCAGTCTGCGGGTGCGGGCCGGGGCGCGGCATTCGTTGCTGCAGTTTTGCGTGCGGTGCGGCCTCACCGCGACGGTGGACGGCCTCGGCGAAGACCTGCCCGCCAGCTCCTTCGAAGAAGAGCCATCTGAGTTTAGTCTGTTTTCCACGGGCCGGCACCCCTGTTTCCGAGGGGCCCTTGGGGTAGCCCGCATGCATCATCGTGACAGGTGTTGGTCCCATCTCCTTTTGTTTTGCTGTTAAGCTGAGTTGAGTTGAGGAGGTGGTACAGGGCGCCCGAGACGAATCCCAGCGAATAGTATCCTCCTCCTCCTCCTCCGCCTCCTCTTCTTCATCATCATCATCATCATCATCATCATCATCAGCAGCAGCATCATCAGCATCATCAGCATCAGCAGCATTATCATCAGCATCAGCAGCATCGTCAGCATCAGCATCATCATCAGCATCATCACAATCGTCCTCATCAGCATCATCATCATCATCATCATCATCATCATCATCATCATCATCGTCATCATCATCATCGTCATCATCGTCATCATCAGCATCATCATCATCATCATCATCATCATCATCATCATAATTCATCATCACCATCGCCATCGTCATCAGCAGCAGCGTCGGCATCCTTTTCATCATCATCATCATAAACACCACCATCATCAGAATCGCATCCAGCATCCTCGATTTCTTCCTCGTCGTCCTCCTCCTCTCATCGCTCATCCACCTCCTCCTCATCAGCATCATCATCATCATCATCATCATCATCATCATCATCATCATCATCATCAGCAGTCCTCATTAATCTTCCTCCTCCTCCTCCTCTTCCTCCTCCTCCCACCGAGGGATCCGTGCCAGGCTGGTGGTGTCTGGTTTGAGCTGACAGAGCAATGGCTCTGCGCCCGACACAAGACCCCAGCGTCGGGTAAGAGGAGGTTCTGTGGCGATTGGCCTGCAACTTCGAGCAGGTCCCTTTGTCCGCGGCGTGGGGCGGGGAGCCGAGACGCTGCTCCTCTGCCGGCACGCTCGGGTGGCTTTCTTTTCGGCGTGTCTCGTCACAGCTTTTTTTTGCCAGAGCCGAGTGAGCAGGCGAGGCCTTCGCTTGTGTCTTGCCTCTCCGAGGCTGACGCCTTCTTCCCCGATCCAGGTGCTCGCGGCCTTGAGGGACTCTGCTAGGAAGTCCTCCTCCTCCTCCCCCTCCACCCCCTCCTCCTCCTCCCTGCTCTCCTCCTCCTCCTCCTCCTTCTCGATTGATCCTCTCGCTGGCCAGAAAGTGGTCAGTTCGACTTGAGGCTGGATGCGGGAAAAAAGCGTGCCAAACAGATCGGCGGTCAGACTTGTCAAGGAGTCCCGCGCTGTCCACTAGGAGGGCGAGAAGGCCCCACGAGTGTGATCCGGGGCCCAGCCCCAGCCATCCACAACATGTCCGGACGACGAGGAGGTGGGTGGAGCCCCCATCGCAGACTTCAGTCGGGCCGGGCCCCCGTCCCTCTACACGTGGAAAATCCAAAAATGGTCCAAAAGAGTCTGGGGATGATTATTTTTGGAGTATTTGTGCTACCCTTTTGACATCTTGTTTGCGCATATGTTTCATTTTCGTCGCGGCACCCTTTGTAGGGGCACGCCCACGGGTCACGACGCCTGACAGCGGGCCCCACGGGACAGCCTTCGCGGGGTGCGGGAGCTCCTGGGCCGCCGGGCTGCACCCTGCCGTCAGGTGTCTCGGGCCCCAGCCAGGGCAAGGGCAGGCAGGAGGACGAAAACACACGGACCAACAAAAGCCACGCAGGCGTAGGAGGAGTAGAAGGGAAGAGGAGGAGGAGAGAGGAGGAGGAGGGGAGAGGAGGAGGAGGAGGATGAGGAGGAGGAGGAGGAGGAGGAGGAGGAGGAGGAGGAGTGAGGAGGAGTAGGAGGAGTGAGGAGGAGGAATAGTATTGAGGAGGACGAGGGAGGATGAGGACGGGGAGGAAGAGGAGGAGGAAGAGGAGGAGAAGGAGGAGGAGGACTAGAGTAGATTCACGATGCATCAGCGATGCTGCAAGAAACCGTCCCGTCCAGAGCCTCCTCCTAATACCTAATAACCTCCAAGAAGTATACACGCCGGTCGTTGAGCGTAGATATTTCTGGATTCCCAGATCCCAATCTACTTCAAGCGCCTTCCTACCTCAAGAATCGGCATGCTTTTTTGCTGTGTGTTGTTCTTCTCTGGGAGGGCCTGGAGCCAATCCCACTATATCCGCCTTCCTACTTCATGTTTCTACCTACCTCTTCCGACCGACGTGTAATCGTCGATTCCCAGGAAAATATAGGAAAATATGGGAAGTGGGGGGGGGGGGGGGAAGACGAAAACTCCCCCCAAACAAAATATAAAGATATGGGGAATGCTGTTATTTGTGTGTCTTTATGTGCGTGTGTCCTCGGGCCCCTTCAGGCAGGCAAGAGGCGAGCTGCCACCTGTCGCCACTGAGCAGGTTCGTTCAGCGTGCAGCTCTTTGGGGAGGGCGAAGGCGTTGGGTTGGGACGACGTTCGTCTTCGGTTCATGGAGCAGCTGCCGCTAGAGTTTGCCCAGGGGTTCGCCGATGTGCTCAGAACGTGGGAGTCTGATCCGAAGGTCTCCCAGCATTGGTTGATTCTTACAGTGCTTCTGGGCAAGCCGACGGGGGGAGTGAGGCCGATTGGTTTCCTCCCGTTGTGGGCAAGAGTATACTCCAAGATTAGGCACCACGAGTTTGCCAGGTGGCAGGAGGCTCACGTCTGCACATTGGCTCTTCGGCGTTTGATGAAAGCGCTTGGCTCCACAACTCGTTGGCTTCAGGCTTAAGGGCCTCTCCATGGCCTCAGCGTTCCTGGTTCTTCGGAAGTACTCTGAGAACATCGGACCTGCCGAGCTTCGGCATGCAGCCAGCGAGATAGGCTGGTCAGACGAGTTGCTTCGGGCGTTATGTTGCATCTATCGGGCTGAGAGGCGTGTTATCTTTCAGTCGATCACGTCGCATGATCTGACTGCGAACGGGACGGTAGTGTCCTGATGTTCCTGCGCGACGTCACTGGCTAGAGTGATGGTGTTAGTGGCTCTTCGGAAGGCCGCCGCGGCCAATCCGTTAGTCACGATCCGCACTGTGATTGGCCACATTTCGTTTCAAGCGCCATGAGGTCCTGCCGCGGTTGGGATTCAGTTGCCCAGAGCTTCCCAGGAAGTTTCAGAGTCTCTAGTCCCCAGGGGTCTACCGATTTCTTGGAACGAGGTTGGCTACTTGGCCTCGTCTAGCGTTTTGTCTAAGACCATGGCCCCCACTTGGGCCGTGGGGTCTGAAGCGAGGGGCTCTGTGCACAGGGACTTGGGAGCAGATGCCGCAGACGGCAGGTGCCGCAGGTGCGAGACTCGACTCTCTGTCTTTATCACGGTTCCCTCCGGCGAGGGAAGAGGCTCAGGATCTCGCAGGCCTGAGGCGCGCCGGTCGGAGCTGCTCATAGATCGGGGCCGACGGCGGTGGCGAGGAGGGGGTCGAGCATTTCTGGTATTCCTGGCGGGCGCCTCACAACGTTGAGGGTCCAGGCTGCGAAGGCGCAAGGCAGGCTCGCTCGCGGGGCATCCCTGGGGCTCTCGCTCGCTTCTGGCAGATCGGGCCGGAGGAGGGATCCCCTGGCCCTGACTAGCGTCGACGCTTCAAAAACTTCTGCTGCGGCTCTGTGGGAAGGACACCTGGCGAGAGGAGGCTTGGAAGGACGTCTAGAGCGGGGTACGCAGCATGCCATGGAGCCTGGGCCTTGAAGTGCGGCTAACGACCCGGTGATGGCGCTGGCCCTTACGATGAAGAGCGTTGGGTGTAGCTTTCTGGGGGTGACTGTCGCTGTGTGCGACCTGGGCGGGGAGTGGGATCCGATATTCTATTCGCCTGGTTTTCTGCCGCGGCTATTTGCGCACTCAGCCCGTAGGGCTTCGGTTAGGAGAGCGCTGCAGTTGCTTGACGCAGGGGGGCCCGTGGGACTCTGAGCTCTTCTGGAGGTCCACCCTTGATTTACAGTTCGCAAAGCCATCGGTCAGTTGGACACAGCACAGTCGAAACCGATGGTAAGGATGGGTCACCTTCCCAAGGGTGCCCTTGCATCCTTGCCTCTCTGGTTCATCCTCGGCCACTCTCGATGGCCAGCCGTCCTCGAAAGACTTCGACATGCGCGTCCAAGGCCCTTGCATCCTTATCGCGCATCCTTGCTATCGGTTCTATCTGTCTGATCCGAACTTTGTGAGAGGCCTGGTAGTTGGACCTCACTGATATCAGCTGCTGGCGAGCGCGCCTGGGCCACCGTCCCCAGACGTCTGCGCGCTTTGCCAGGGAGGCCACGAAGCCTCTCTCCACAGTGCGCGTCGTTGCCAAGCGCATGCCAATTTGGAGGAGGAGGAGGAGGAGGAGGAGAAGGAGGGCATAGGGGGATAGAGGAGGAGGATGGATGGAGGATGGAGGGGAGACGACCCGTGGCGAGGAGGGTGAGGAGGAAGAGGGGTGGGGGGAGGCAGAGCGATTTTATCCTAACGGCACCCGGTGCTCTTCAAGGCCAGAGTGCAAAGCTGAACGGGAGATCCGCCACCGGTGATGTATGCTTGCCCAGTCTGCTGGAAGGGGGCTTCGTTTTCGGGGATGGGTCCGGCCTCGATGGCGACGTCCGGCCAATCCGCTGCGCGGGCGGGTCGGCCGTGCTTTGCGACTCTGAACGCAGGTACAGTCGGGGCCCTGAAGAAGGAACCCTTTTCGTTGGGGAGGGGCTCCGCGTTCCTTACGTGTTTCGCAGCTTGCCTCAGGTTTTCCTTATGTTTTCGATCGGAGATCGAAGTCTAACTTATGGAGGAAGGGGGCCTCGTTCCTTATTTTGGATTCCTTAGGTTCAAGGCCCCGACTGCATTTCGGGGTCGTGCACGGGGCGGTGCCCCCGCTGCTTGGGCCACAGCCGGTGGCCAGACACGGGGAGGATGTTGCGGCGCTGAAGGTGTCTCGGCTGGTCCTGGGGCAGCTCTCGGTGCGCTGCTTGTGACGTTACATATGTACCGCTCGTTCTGGCAATTCCTGAGAGAAGCGCGTGTGAGAAGTGGGCAGTGTACCGGCAGCCCTCCACGGGCGCGGACTCTCCGCATGCCGCTCGGCTAACAGAAACATCAGCTGGTCCTGGGGCAGTTCTCGGTGCTCTGCGACTGTACAGGAAGTAGCTCGTGCTGCACGAAGCATGCCATGGCGCAGGCGCCATCCAACGCGAGGGCCCACTCGTGGACCAAGTGCGCCCGCGAGAGGACTTCAAGCAGCGCCCTCTCGTCCGCGGCAAAGGTCACGCGACCTCGACAGACGAACTTGCTGGCAAAATCTGTTGGTAATTTCAGGGCCGCCGAGCTGACTGAGAAAGTACGCGCTGCAGGCTAGCGGCTAGAGCTGATCAAGCTGACGTTCTCTCCCAGGAGGGGCTTTCCATGTAAGCGACGAGGTACGTGGTTAGAAGCACGGCCATGGCGGTCGACGCAGAGCAACGAGACCACCCTCCAATCGATTTGTGGAGGAAGATCAATCTCGGAGTTCTCCCAGAGGAGCTGTGTGATGATGCGGCCTCGTGCTGGCACTCTGCGGTCCAGCAGCACCAGCGGGCCCTCAAGCTGGCCGCGCAACGGGCTCCGCAGGTTGGCAGGCGGGGCCGCGCACACTGTTCGGGGCGATCGCCCGGAGAAAGCTGGCACCTTCTTCTCGGACGCGTGCTCCCCCTCAGAGGCCACCCAGGCGAGCTTGGCCAGCCACTGTGGAGTAGCGACGGAGGGTGTGGGCTCCGTGTCGGCTCCGAGCGTGCATCCTCTGACAGATCAGTCGGCTCCCACAAGGATGGAGTTGGCCGCGGTGTTGTATGCCTGTCGGTCAGGGTCAAGAGTCGAGGCGGAGGAGATCGGAGCGGCGAGCTGGAAGCTCGGGCTCAGATCAAGGCTCTGAAGGCCAAAGGGGACCCTGACCCAGAGACTATGTGATGTTTTTAGGGGGGGGGGGGGGCCTTTCGGCGGTCCCTGCCTGGGGGATGGAACCTCAGGTGGGAAACAACAAGTTCTCACCTGATTTTCCTTTCCTCTCCCCGTGGCGCTTTCCTTCCATGGGCAGTGCACCTCTTTCTCCTCCTCCTCCTCCTCCTCCTCCTCCTCCTTCTCCTGCTCCTCCTCCTCCTCCTCCGCCCTCCTCCTCCTCCCTCCTCCTCCTCCTCCTCCTCCTCCTCCTCCTCCTCCTCCTCCTCCTCCTCCTCCTCCTCCTCCGTCGAGCTTCGCGCTGCGGGCCCTTGCCTCCTCGAGGAGCCCGCGGCGCCAGACCTGCAGGAGGCCGCGGCCGGCGGGGCCCGGAGCCCCGCGGCGGCGCCCGCGGCGCCGGCGGAGGCGGCGGCCGAGGAGGCCCCGCCGGCGGCGCCCGCCTCGCCCGAGGAGCGGCCGCGCGTCCCCTCCGGCGGCTGTGGCCCGGGCGATCGCCGTCGCCGTCGCCGTCGCCGCCGTCGCCGTCGCCGTCGTCGCCGTCGTCGTCGCCGTCGCCGTCCCCAGACCTCGGGCGTCTCGAAGAAATCGAGACACAGGTTTTCCACAGTTTGGGGCCCCTCGGGGCCCTCGCCGGGCCTCGGGACCGTCAAAACACGACTCGGGATGAACAACCGGTCCCAGGGAAGTGGTCGGGAGGTCAGGGGCCCGCGTCTTGAAAAAATCGAGACGTCGGATGTCTGGGTCGTCGCCGTCGTCGTCGCCGTCGCCATCGGGATCCGGGCGGTGCCGTTCTCTCACGCCGGGTGCCTCTCTCCAGATCCGCCCTACTTTGGCTTCTTTTCCAACTTAAACTTGCGTCGGAACTCCACCTACTTCAGGAGCCGAAGAAGTAGGGCGGACATCTCTGCACCCAACATCAACTAGGGCGGAAATCCACGGAAGTAGGGCGGAAGCAGCCACGGAAAAGTAGGCCGGAAACTGGCATCAGCGGGGCTTGGCAAAAGTAAGGCGGAAGTTCCAAGCCCTGCCTACGAATTTCCCCGAAGTGGGGCGGATCCGGAGCCAGGCGTGGGCGTCGGGCCCCGGGGCCCTCGCAGGGCGACGCGGCTCGAAGGAGGCCGCAGGCAGACGAGGCTCGGGGCTCCACTGGACATAAGAGTGGCCTTTCGCCGGAGTGACCTTTGGTGGGCCCAGACATCGGGCGTCTCTAAAAAATCGATGAGATTTTTCATAGTTTTTGGCCTCTCGGGGCCCTCGCCAGGCCTCGGGACCGTCAAAAAACGACTCGGGATGAAAACCGGTCCCAGGGAAGTGGTCGGGAGGTCTGGGGCCCGCGTCTCGAAAAAATCGAGACGTCGGATGTCTGGGGGGCTCCCCTGGCTCCGGATCCGCCCTACTTTTGGGAAATTCGTAAGCAGGGCTTGGAATTTCCGCCTTGCTTTTCAGGCCCCGCTGATGCCAGTTTCCGGCCTACTTTTCTGTGGCTGCTTCCGCCCTACTTCCGTGGAGTTCTGCCCTATTTTATGTTGGGTGCAGAAATGTCCGCCCTACTTCTTCGGCTTCTTAAGTAGATGGAGTTCCGACGCAATTTTAAGTTGGAAAAGAAGCCAAAGTAGGGCGGATCTGGAGTCAGGGCTGTCCCTCTACAGAAGGAACATTCCAACAGCAAAAAATTGTCAGGGGTCAGGGGCCGATGTTTCTAAGGTTTTGGGCTACTTCCATCTTTCGTCCAGAGTCCGCCTGTACGAGGGCACGCCCGATCTACAGTCAAAAACCTTAATAAGGACGCGCGACTTTGCTCAGGGTACCCTTGCGTCCTTGCTCTTCCTTGCTCTTGCGTCCTTGAGGTTTTCGTCGTCCGCCTCCCAAAAATCCCAACTTCGGCTTTCAAGGGTCTTGCGTCCTTACCGCGGGTACGTATGAGGGTTTTTGACTGCAATGCTAAGGGCAGGCGTTCCTTTTCCTGTGCAAGCTCCTCAGCACCGCCTGCACCCCGCGCCCTCCGGCCGCCTGAGGCCCCGCCCGCCTGAGCTCTGTCTCCCCAATTCGTGCTTTGCGCGACCCGCCCAGCTCTTAACCGGAAGAGGCTCGCTCTCGACCCGCAGACCAAAAAAAGTGTGCTGATGCACATTTGCATGCAGACGTGTGTATACAACCTCGTAGCTCTCATTGTTCCTCCATCTCGCGTGTCCTTGCTTGCGCAAGCTCGCCAGGCGGAGGCTCGCATCTCAAAGTGCTCGCATCTCAAAGTGCTCTCGACCCGCAGACCATCGGGCGAAGAGAACTATGCACATGCACCGATCCTGGCAAGGCCCATTTTTGACCCAGGATCGGTGCATATGCCTTCCTGGCCAAGGTAGGAGGGCGTATGCACCGATCCTGGGCTCAGGATGGGCCTGGCCAGAATCGGTGCATGTGCATAGTTCTTTTTCCTCTAGACCAAAACATGTAATGCTAAGGGCGGGCTGCAGATCACCGCTCAACCGTGTGCTGCGCAGCCGCACCTGCAGGGCGGGGCCCCTCCCCGAGCCCGCGCCTCTGTGCGCACCGCCTGCGAGCCCCTCGCCGCCGCCGCCGCCGCCGTGGCCGTGGTGCGCTGCTGCTCTGCCCGGGGCGTGCGCACGCTTCGGGACGAACGGCCTTGAGATCCGACGCAGCGAAAAACGACGACGAGGGCGAGGACGAGGAGGACGACGACGACGAGGGCGACGACGACGACGGCGACGAGGGCGACGACGGCGACGGCGACGAGGACGAGGACGAGGACGACGACGACGACGACGACGACGACGACGACGACGAGGGCGACGACGACGAGAGCGACGACGACGACGGCGACGACGACGACGGCGACGAGGACGAGGACGACGACGGGGCTCTGCGTATCTCACGTGCCCTTCCCTGAGATCCAACGTAGCGAAAAAGTTGCAACATCGTGAAAATCCGCGACCGGAGCCCTGGACCCCATCTTTCTGCGTCATTTTTCGAGCCGGATCGATCCGTGAGGGTCCCGGGACCCAAAAATGGGCGAAAACGCCCGGCTCGAAAAAATTGAGTCGCCAGGATCTCAGGGGCGAGCGCGGAAAGGAGGCCAACGCTGCAGCGGGAGCACGATTCGGAACGAGCGGTGGCCCGAAAACGAAGCCAGCGCCTCAGCGAGAGCAGCATTTTGCAAACCTCTCCCCGGGCCGGGCCGCTCGGCTTCCGCACGTTCCGGTCTGGTCGGTCGGTCCGGGCCGGTCGGTCTGCGAAGCTTTCGGTATCACCGGTCCGGGCCAGTCTGGGCCCGTTTTCGGCGCCCGTGGGCTTTTTGTCGGCGCCCTGGCGCCCTTGGGATCTTTTTTCGGCGCCCTTGAGCTTTTTCCGGCGCCTTTGGGTTTCTTTCGGCGCCCTTGGGCTTTTTTCGGCGCCCTTGGGCTTTTTTCGGCGCCCTGGCGCCCTGGGATCTTTTTTCGGCGCCCTTGGGTTTTTTTTCGGCGCCCTTGGGTTTTTTGTCGACGCCCTTGGTTTTTTTTTCGGCGCCCTGGCGCCCTTGGGCTTTTTTCGGTGCCCTTGGGCTTTTTTTCGGCGCCCCTATGTTGGTTCGTCGAGGCTTTCGACCCCTATGTTGGTTCGTCGAGGCTTTCGCGGGGTCGTTTTCGCCCAGTCCGCCATGGGGGCGTTTTCGTCCAGGCCGGGCCTGTCGAGCCGGGCCGGTCGGTCTCCAGTGGCGCGAGACCGGTCGGTCCAGTCTCGGGCCCCAGGCCGGTCGGTTGTCGGGCTGGCCCTGGACCGAGGCGAGGCTTGATTTTGGAACAAAAACGGAGCGAAAACCCGTTTCCCTGGAATCCTGCGTGTAAAAGCCAGTACGCGAAGAGGGGCCGGTCATTTCCCGGACGTCACCAGAGGAGAGAGGAGAGTAGTATTCATATCGTGTAATTCCAGACGTCACCAGGGGAGAGAGGAGAGTAGTATTCATATTGTGTAGTTGTGGAGAGGGGAGGGGGGAGGGAGGACGGAGGAGGGAGGAGGGAGGTCGGTATCTCTGGATTCCCAGACCTCCTGCGTCCTTCTGCCTACCTTCCTGCCTCTTGCTGTTTGGATCTTGTCGAGCAGTGGCGAAGCGTCCTGGCTTGCCCATATGCCCATGTGCCCATCTGCCCACCAAAGAATGTTCCAAGAACCTTTGTGGTTCGCGCAGGGTGTTCTTAGAACATTTCTGACTGAGACTGTCTTGTTTCATCAATTCATCGGTTTTACGTTATAAAACCGTTCTTGTTATTAGAACATTCTGTGGTTCAGAGAAAATTTCGTAGTAGGCCTACAGGAATGCCTGGACGGTCGGTCCCTGGTAACTGCTTCTCGTTCCAGCGGAGTCGGTGGTTGCCTGTCCACCACCTCTCGAGTTTGCTGTGCTGCTCGGGTTTGCCCGACCGCCTTGCTGCACGAAGATAGAGGGTGGCACGGGGTTGCTTGAATGTGGAAGAAACACCCAGAGGATCCGAAACCGTCAAGCAGACGGTTTTTAACCTCCCAAATGGAGGTCACTCTTCATGACCGTAGGATCTATTTCGGGACCTCCAAAGAATAACGGTCAGAAAACCGACCTCCAGATTGGCGGCTCAGACGTCTCGTCTGGCGGCACCTCCAGACTGGCGGTCAAAAGTGCTCATCCTTGTCTACTTTTAGGCGCCGCCCTCATTTGTGAAGAAACAGCTCAACCTCCTCCTCCTCCTCCTTCTCCTCCTCCTCCTCCTCCTCCTCCTCCTCCTCCTCCTCCTCCCCCTCCTCCCCAGATCCTTGTCTACTTTGAGGCGCCGCCCTTCTTATTGTGAAGTATGTCGAAGCTGGCCGGGCCCCCCCGAGAGGAGGAGGCCGCGGAGGAGAGTCCGCCCGTGGCGCCCGTCTCGCCGGAGGAGGCCGCGGAGACCGGGTTTGGGGGACGACGGGGGAGGGGGAGGAGGAGGAGGAGGAGGAGGAGGAGGAGGAGGAGGAGGAGGAGGAGGAGGAGGAGGAGGAGGAGGAGGAGGAGGAGGAGGAGGAGGAGGAGGAGAGGAGGAGGAGGGAGGAGGAGGAGGAGGAGAGAGGAGGAAGAGAGGAGGAGGAGGAGAAGGGGGGAGAGGAAGAGAAAATGTGGAAACAGGGGGGGGGGGAGGGACGACGGGGGGAGGAAAAAGGAGGAGAAAACAGGGGGGAGGAGGAGGAAACAGGGGGGAGGAGGAGGAGGAGAAGATATGGAGACAGGGGGGGGGAGGGACGACGGGGGGAGGAGGCAGGAGGAGAAGACAGGGGGGAGGAGGAGGAGGAAACAGGGGGGAGGAGGGACGACGGGGGGAGGAGGAAGAGGAGAAAGTATGGAAACATTTGGAAGGACCAGCGTAAACCCAGGACGCGTCAACGATGCTGCAATAGACTCTCCCTCCGAGCTCCCTCTTCCTAGGTCCCTACAGGAGTTCATGAGTTTAGTTGTCTCTGCTGAGAGTGCCCCGCTGGAAGACAACCGTTTGAGAATCCTCGACCGTGTCAAAACACAACTCCTTGGACTCCAACGTCCCGAATCAACTTTATTGTTGCGTCCTGACCCCTGCCAGACCACTATTTTGGGGACGTCGACACAGCGAATTAACGTGACTGTTAACGCCTTGACAATCCGAAACCGGGAAACCATTCATGGGACGCCAGCCGTATGAATTTATGAAGCACGTGCAAACTTTGAAGACGAATGCGCGCGGCGTTAGGGCGAGAGACCCATGTTAAATTAGCTTAGCGAAGGACCCAATCATATGCAGTTGTGAATTCCGCAGTTGTAGGTCTCGTGTTCGGTGGGGCCCCCGTATAGTGCCACGGAACGCTGTACTGGGCGGGGGAGCATGCGGACTGCGCCACTGGGACCCTCGGTGGAGCTCCCTGTGGGCCCAAGGAAATATTGTACTGGGCGGGGGAAACGCATGCGGACTGCGACACTGGGACCTTTGGTGGAGCTCCCTGTGGGCCCAAGAAACCCTGCACAGGGTAGGGGAGACGCATGCGGGCTGCGCCACTAGGACCTTCGGTGGAGCTCCCCATGGGGCCACGAAACGTTGTACCTGATGGGGGTTGTGGCCCTTTGGGACCGTCGGTGGAGCTCCCTACGGGCCACGACACGGTGTAAAGGTTGGGGGGACGCATGCGGGCTGCGCCACTAAGACCTTTCTGGTGGAGTTTCCTACGGGGCCACGAAACGCTGCACTGGGTGGAAGAGGCGCATGCGGGCTGCGAAACTGGGACCTTCTGTGAAGCTCCCTATGGGGCCACGAAGCGTTGTACTTACTGGGTGGGGCAGACGCATGCGGGCTGCGCGACACTGGGACCTTTAGTGGAGCTCCGTATGGGGCCACGAAACGTTGTATTGGGTGGGGGAGACGCATGCGGGCTGCGCCACTGGGACCTTTTCGGTGGAGCTCCTTATGGGGCCATGAAACGCTGTACTGCGTGGGGGAGACGTACGCGGGCTGCGCAACTGGGTCATTCGGTGGAGCTCCCTATGGGGCCACGCAAATTTGTATTGTGCGTGGGGGAGGCTACGCGGGCTGCGCAACTGGGTCCTTTGGTGGAGGTCCCTATGGGGCCACGCAAATTTGTTTTGGGTGGGGGAGACGCATGCGGGCTGCGCCAGTGGGACCTTCGGTGGAGCTTCCTACGGGGCCATGAAACGCTGCAGTGGGTGGGAGAGGCGCAGGCGGGCTACGCCACTGGGATCATCTGTGGAGCTCTCCTTATGGGGCCACGAAGCGTTGTACTGGGTGGGGCAGACGCATACGGGCTGCGACACTGGGACCTTTAGTGGAGCTCTGTATGAGGCCACGAAACGTTGTATTGAGTGGGGGAGACGCATGCGGGGTGTGCCACTGGGACCTTTTTGGTGGAGCTCCTTATGGGGCCACGAAGCGTTGTACTGGGTGGGAGAGACGTACGCGGGCTGGGTAACTGGGTCCTTCGGTGGAGTTCCCTATGGGGCCACCAAGCGGTGTAATGAGTGGGGGATGTAAATCTTATCTTACTTGGCCGAGCGACCCTTGCATGGACCCTGGGGCGGATGGTATTGCATATATGTCTCACCGTAACCATGTTGGCTCAAGGGCACACTTGGGCCGGTAGCAAGCTACCAGGACACACTGAACAGCGTTTCGGCGCTCAGGGAGAGCGCTACAACGCTTGGCCCATCGGGGCCACCGATATCACGATATCGGACACACGAGTGCTGGCGAGGAAAAAGGTGATTATCGAGGTCCGAATTCGAGTGGTTTCGCCTACATCTTCGACGAGGCTTCCGCCGGCACCGACGGAATTTAGTTGGTAGCGGAACCATTTTGGCCCCACGGACCGGCACGCCATGGCGACCGAGACTGAGAAACACGAGACAGTGCCATTTTGGGACGGAGACGCGGCTGGTTTTGATTCCCATATGCTGCGAGTCAAGCTCAATGTGCGAGACGCGAAGAAGCACGAGAAGGGGCTCTGCGGGCCCACATTGATGTCAAGGCTCCAAGGACGTGCTTGGCAGGGCGCGCGGAAGTATGACAAAATGGACAGCCTTGACGACATCGAGGAAGATCCTGAGACCAGGCTGCCCAAGGGAGTGAGCCAGCTGCTGTCGCATCTGAAGGAGAAGAGCGACATCCTCGAGGTGGAGGACGCCGGCAAGTACATGCGTACGTTCATGAAGGAGACCTTTAGAAGGAACAAGACGAGCATGAGGGACTACCTCATCCAGGCCGAGGTCGAGGAGGACCGGATGCAGAAGGCCATTGGTGCCATCGACCGCAGCTTCGACGAGAGGAAGCCGATGTTTCCACAGCGGCTGCGGGCATGGTTTCTATTCGAGAAGGCGGACTTGGACGATCATGAGAGATCTCAGGTGCCGGCGCCCGTGCAGACCCCATGTGGTTAACAGAGGATCCGACAGGCTCTCGGGATGCACTTCGACAAGAAAGCATGAACGCGACAGCCACGACTACAAGGGCCAGCAGAGGCCGCAGCGGCATGGACGCAAGAACAACGCGGCCGGGGGCGACGAGGAATATTACGAGGAGGAAGATGACGATGAAGATGATGTCTACCCTCCTGCTGACCACCAGGGTGACGAGGCGACCGCGTGCGCGACGGCGGAGGACGAAGAACCCGGAGGCAGGATCCAGGACATCTACGGCCAAGCAGGAAACGGCACGGAGCAGTGCGACGAGCTGATCGAGGAAGTTGCGCATGCTGCTGCCCAACAAGGGCAGCGATCCTTCAAGCAGGCGCGAGAGCTTCTGCGCCAGAAGAAGACGGGTCGGAAGTTCTTCAGCACGTGCGCTGAAGGTTCAGCACCACCGAGGACGTCCAAGGGTGCTGGCAAGGCCTTGACACAGCGCAGCTCGACCGGGCAGCCGAGCGGCGGCAAGGATTGGAAAACGGACCCGAACACAGTCGTCCTAAGGTGCGATGGCTGCGGGCGCATCGCCAGGGACTGCAAGGCGCCTGCCGAGCTGCAGGCGGGGCGCAAATATATTAATCCATCGTCGTCGGCCAGATCCACATCGTCGAGGGCACCAGCGACATCATCCCAGCGGACATGTTTCATATCCCAGTGGGCATGTTTCAGACCCCAGAGGGCATGTTTCAGATCCCAGAGGACATGTTTCAGATCCGAGAGGACATCCAGATACCGCTTGAGGCCTCCACTGATCCTGGGACGATGTTCCAGGGGTCCCAGGTCAACGGAAACGCCCCGCAGATCACGTCCCAACCCAGAAACCACGAGACCGAGATTCAAACGCCGAGAGACGAGGTTCGCCTTGGTCGTGTATGAGCACTGCGTGCTACTGGCCTCGCACCCTTCGGGGGCTGTCAAGGGCGTCCTAGACTCGGGGGCGCCCATGTCGGCACGCCGCTCGCACGCTTTGTGGCTCCATAATGAGCTCCACTGACGGCCCCAGTAGCACCGTCCACATGCGTCCGCCGCACAATTTTCGGCACACCCCTCATATGTTTCGTGGCCCCAGAGGGAGCTCCACCCAAGGTCCCAGTGGCACCGTCCACATGCGTCCGCCACGCCAATGTCGGCACAACCCTCACACGCTTCGTGGCCTCATAGGCAGCTCCACCGAAGGCCCCAGTAGCATCGTCCACATGCGTCCGCTGCGCCCATTCCGGCACACCCATTCACACGTTTCGTGGCCCCATAGGGAGCTCCACCGAAGGCCCCAGAGGCACCGTCCACATGCGTCCGCCACACCAATGTCGGCACAACCTTCACACGTTTCGTGGCCTCATAGGCAGCTCCACCGAAGACCCTAGTGACACCGTCCACATGCGTCCGCCACACCCACCGAAATCCCCAGAGGCACCGTCCACACGCGTCCGCCACACCCATTTTGGCACGCCCCTCACACGCTTCTTGGCGCCATAGGCAGCTCCACCGAAGGCTCCAGAGGCACCGTCCGCATGCGTCCGCCACACCCATTTCGGCACATCCCTCACAAGCCTCGTTGCCCCATAGGGAGCTCCACCGAAGATGATGCTCACGACTGCGGTGCTCACAGCTGCAGATGGTTGGGTCTTTCGCCAGGCTAATCTTCTTTGCGATATGGCGCGCGCGTGCGCGCGCATGTAAATATTCCATCAAACAGCATTTCCCGCATGCGGGTTCCGCCTGCGTGATCTCGCACGCGGGGGGCGGGAGGAACAGATCCACCGACGCCTGGTTATGGGCGAGAAAGCAGGGTGACGCGCGGTCAAATGTTGCAGTTAGAGGCTGGTTTGTGTTTCTGACGCCTCCGGGTATCTCCAGCGGTGTTCAGAGGTCCTTTGGGGTTGCCTGAGGGCTCATTTGCTTGGACAAGGCGGATTGTTCTTGGTCGCTCGACTGTTCCCAACCATCCTGTAGCGCTGGGACCTCGTCTTGAAGAGACAGCGCCCCGCGTCTCCTCCCCTCCTCCCCTCACCCTCCTTTTTCCTCCAGTTTGTGCGTCCGCCACGCCCACGTCAGCACACCCCTCGCACGCTTTGTGGCCCCAGAGGTGGCCTCACCGCAGGCCCCAGTGGACCTGCCCACACGCGTCCGCCACACCCAGTACAGCGTCTCGTGGCCCCATAGGGGGTTCCACCGGCCCACCCAGTCAGGGTGGCCACACGCGTCCGAAGACCCCAGCGGGTGTGGCCACATGCGCCCGCCACACCCAAAACAGCGCTTCGTGGCCCCATAGGGAGCTCCACCTGAGGCCCAAATGGGGGTGGCCACATGCGCGTGCCACACCCATGTCGGCGCACCCCTCACACGTTTCGTGGCCCCCTGAGGAGTTCAACCCAAGACTCCAGCGGGCGCGGCCACATGCGTCCGCCCGACCCATGTCGGCTCACCCTTTCACACGTTTCGCGCTCCCATTGGGAGCTCCACCGAAGGCCCCAGCGGCGACGTTCGCATGCGTCCGGCCGATTCATGTCGGCACACCCCTCATTCGTTTCGCAGCCCCATCGGAGCTCCATCGAAGGCCCCAGCGGCGACGTTCGCGTTCACCACCCCCCGCCCCTTTCGGTACACCCCTCACACTCTTCGTAGCCCATGGGGATCTCCACCGAAATCTCGCATACCTCCCACCCCCCCTGCCCGCACTGCCCCGCGCCTCGTTCTTCCTGCGGCTCGCTGCCCATGAGAGCAAAGGGTGTACCGCGTACGCTTTTCTCGAGGTTTGCGTGCCCCCGTCCTCCATCTCATCTCCCTCGCCGTTCTCGCAGCTGCATACGGTTGGGTCTTCGTCTGGCTAATTCCTGCCGCACTATGCGTGGCAATGTAGCTGAAGATGCTGCTCCTGCGTGGCCATTGAGCACCGACGGCCACTGCTGTCACGACCTGCCCCTTCACATCGACAGGCCCTGTTGCGATTCTTTGCCGTCTCTCACGAGCTGGCCCCCGCTCCGATGTCGCTGAAGATGTTGCTCCTGCGTGGCCTTTGGCGCCGATGACCGCTGCTGCCACTGCCCACTTTTTCGCACAGCCTGGCCTCCGCGACTCTTACGTAGCTATCGGGCAACGACGTCCGCTGTTGCAATTGCCTGCTCCTTTGCAATCTCGCACTGGCAGTCTGTGCTGCCACTACCTGCCTTCCTGGAACATCGCTCCCAGCCTTGTCGCCGATGGCACTGCTGATCTTGGCGGGCTCCTGCGTACCTGCTACCACGCACGGACAGCTCCCAACACTGCAGTTTAATTGCGCTGCTGATGTTGTCTTGCCCCTGCCCGCGTGCTTTCGCACGTAGTTTCTTCATAGTTGTCTGCACTTCGACAGCGGCGCCGCAACTGGCGCCACTGCTCGCCAGTAGGCGGAAGAGGGGCGGGAGGAGGGGAACATCGATGAGAGGACGGATGGTGACATGCTTCCTGGCGGGTGCTCGCGCCATTGTAGCTGAGAACGTGCTCTCGCGAGCAAGGCCATCTCGAAGTTTGCCCGCGGAGCGCCATTGCGCGCCCCGTGCAGGGAGCTACCGCTCGGGCGCGAAATGGCTAAGAAGGAGGACGAGAAGGAGGAGAAGGAGGAGGACGAGGAGGAGGAAGAGGACGAGGACGAGGAGGAGGAGAAGGAGTAGGACGAGGAGGACGAGGACGAGGAGGAGTATGACAATGAGGAGGAGAACGACGACGACGACGAGGACAAGGAGAAGGAGGAGGAAGAGTAGGAGGAGGGAGGGAGGACGAGGACGAGGAGGATGAGAAGGACGAGCAGGGAGGAGGGAGGAGGAGGAGGAGGACGAGGGGGGGAGGAGGAGGAGGAGGAGGAGGAGGAGGAGGAGGAGGAGGAGGAGGAGGAGGAGGAGGAGGAGGAGGAGGAGGAGGAGCAGGAGGAGCAGGCGGAGGGGGAGGAGGAAAAGCAGGAGGAGGAGGAATAATAACAATAATCATATACACGAGAAGAGGAGTAGCACGAATAATAACAACACTAGTAATAGTACTAATAATACAACTGTCAATGATAGTACTGATAACTAGAGTGGCAACACCATTTATATCAATATAATAATCATCAGTCAATAACCGTTACAATAATAGTATTACTAAGAATGCTATTAATACGAATGCTGCCCTACCAATAATACGAATATAGTAGCGAATAATTTTAACCATAAATCATAATAGGAGCAAGCACAATAGCACGACTAGCTATACTAGAATACTCAAAATCATAATCTACATACTAAAACGAATATCTATACACGAATAATGAAACTACGAATGCGAATGACAATACGACTACCAATGATAGTACTAATAATAGTAATGAGAAGAATAAGAGGATGATGATGAGGAGGAGGAGGCGGAGGAGGAAGACGATGACGACGAAGAAGAGAAGGAGGAGGACGCGGAGTAACAGCAGAGAGCCCTGAAGGAGGCCGCGGACAGCCTGCCGGCGGCGCCCGCCTCGCCAGAGGGGGTCCCTGAGGAGCGGGCGGGGCGGGTTCGGAGACGGGGGTCTCTCGCGGGCCTCCTCCTCCCTCCTCCCTGCTCCCTTTTTGTTCCTCCTCCTCGTCCTCCTCTTCCCTCCTCCCTCCTTCGCTCCTCCTCCCATTCCTCTTTCCCCCTCGTCCTCCCTCTTCCTCCTCTTCCCTCCGCTCTCCTCGCTCCTCTTTCTCCTCCTCCTCCTCCTCCTCCTCCTCCTCCTCCTCCTCTCTCCTCCTCCTCCTCTCTCCTCCTCCTCCTCTTAGAGCCCATCCTCCCCTCGCCCTCCTCCTCGCCCTCCTCCTCCTCCTCGCCCCCCTCCTCCCTCTCCCTCCGCGCCCTCCTCCCCGAAGCTCGCGGCTGGGGTAGGGCTCGTCCCCCCCCCCTCGCCCCTCCCCTCCTCGCCCTACTCCTCCCCGCTCTCCCTCCTCGCCCTCCTCCTCGGCCTCTCCCCCCCGCTCTCCCCCCGCGCCCTCGCCCCTCTCGGCCTCGCCGCTCCGACCGCGCGCCCCCCGCCCCCGCCCGCCGAGAGCAGCGGCGGGGGCCGGCCGGGAGCCGGCGGCAGGACCCGCCGCTGATGCCGGTGGAGGAGCCCGCCGGGGCGCGCAGGGCCGCGGCGGCGGGCAGGCGCCCGGGCGGAGGGCCGGCCGCGCCTGCCCCGATTGCGAGGTCCGAGGGCTCGAGGCTTCCTCTCTCCTCGTGCTTCCTCCTCATGCTTCCTCCTCCTCCTCCTCCTCCTCCTGATTATCCTCCTCCTCCTGCTCTTCCTCCTCCTCCCCCTCCTCCTTCTCATCTTTCTTCCTCGTCCTCCTTTCTCGTTCCCCTCTTCCCTCCTCAGGGGCAACGTTGGTCTTAGGGGGGGATAGGTTCAGGGGGGTCGTCAGGGCCTCGAGGTCCGAGGGCTCGAGGCTTTCGGGCTCCGGATGGTCCTCCAGCCTCGGGATGCCTGCCGGCGACGACGCCTCGCCGCAGGCGTCCAGGGGCTGCCCAGGTCGTCCCGAGGGCAACGCTTGGGGGCGACCCTGACTCCAGATCCGCCCTGCTTTGGCTTTCTTTCCAACTTAAAACTGCGCCGGGAATCCACCTATAGGGAGCCGGAAAAGTAGGGCGGAGATTGCTGCACCCTACAAAAAACTAGGGCGGAAGTCCACAGAAGTGGGGCGGAAACAGCCACAGAAAAGTAGGGCGGAAATTGGCATCAGCGGGGCTTGAAAAGTAAGGCGGAAATTCCAAGCCCTATTTACGAATTTCCCCAAAGTAGGGAGGATCCGGAGTCAGGGCAGCCGCGCCTTGCCTTTTTGGGCTGCATCGGAGGAGCCTCGCCCGGGGAGGGCCCCCGAGGGAAGAGGAGGAGGAGGAGGAGGAGGAGGAGGAGGAGGAGGAGGAGGAGGAGGAGGACCAGTGTCAACCCAAGAGTCATCAACGATGTTGGAATTGATCCCCCCTCCAAGCTCCCTCTTCACAGGCCCCTGCAACGGTTCACTTCCATTGAGGGAACTGCCTCGTTGGAAGACAACCGTTTGAAGCTCCTAAAGCATGCCAAAACAGTGTTCTCGGGATTTCAACGCCACGTATCAAACTGCTGCGTTTTGGCGATCCAGAATCGTGCAATAACGCCATTGTGGACTTCAACACAGCGAATCAACCTTGTTATTGCACCCGCATAATCCTGAATCCTTCCAAGACGCTATTTTGGTACGTTGGTCATGGAAAACCGTGAAACTCTTGCAACTATTTCAAATGAATGTGCGCGGAGCTGAGGCGAGAGCCACATGTTTGAAAAGGAGCCGCCCTCAACTCGTGAAACTCTTTCACATGTTTACCAAGAATATGCGCGGCGCTATGGCGAGAACCACATTTTGAAAACGATTCGCCCTCAATCTGCAAAAATCTTGCACATTTTTATAACGAATGTTCGCGGCGCTCAGGCAAGAACCACATTTTGAAGAGGAACCGCCCTCAATCCGTGAAACTCCTGCCAACTTCTACAAAGAATGTGCGCGACGCTAATGCGAGAGCCACATGTTGAAAAGGAACCGCCCTCAATCCGTGAAGCTCTTCCAATGTTTTACAAATAATGTGCGCGGCGCTAAGGCGAGAGCCACATTTTGAAAACCACCCGCTCTCCATCTGTGAAAGTGCTGTCACTTTTTAAGTTTCAGAGTCATAGATGGTGAGGAAGTCTCAGGCGAAACGGCCAGCCCGCCCTAAAAACTGGCCTCGGGGTGCGACAGGGAGGAGTTTTCTTTAAGGAGAAGGAATGGAGGAGGAGGGGGAGGAGGAGGAGGAGGAGGAGGAGGAGGAGGAGGGGGAGGGGGAGGAGGAGGAGGAGGAGGAGGAGGAGGAGGAGGAGGAGGAGGAGGAGGAGGAAGAGGATTCTGATTTTGGCTTTGTTTGGATTTCGACGCTGGTTAAGCTGAGTAAAGGAGATCGGCCACGCGCGGAGGGGGGGTGGGGGAGGGGGCACGGCTTCTTAGAAGCACCCCTGCTTGTTAGAAGGTGCGGGCCTTGTCTGTGGACGTAAAGCCTGCGCCTTCCAAGAAGCAGCCTCCTTCGAAGAAGCCTTCCCCCCCTCCCCCTACCCCTTGGGCGCGCCGCCAGAGAGGGGGGAGGGGGGAGGGGTCGGACGGGCCTAGAATCGAGGTTAATCCGTTCCAGAGCGTTCCGCAACGCTCTCGGGGCGTTCCAGAAACGGCGGGGAGTTATCCACAACCACCGCCTGGGGGGTCGATCTTCGCGGACCTCCACAGGCGGTGGCTATGGATATATTCGGGCCCTCGGGGGCCAGAGTGTTTTTATGCCTCAAGGCTCGGAACAAGTCCGCCGCAAGTAAAAGACAGAACAGTGCATGGCTAACGCGGGGGCCGCGCGCAGAGAAAGCAAGCGCGATGGAGCGCCGGGAGGACTGTCACTTCTTGGCGCACCCGATCGCTCGACCGGACGCGGTGTTGGCCTGGCCCACTGCAACTGCATGGGAATGGCCGGCACGACGGGCGTCGCGCCTTTGTACACTGTCCAACGAATCAAGTGCTGCACACTGAGCAGACGGGAGTCGATTGTAGGAGGAGGGGGAGGAGCAAATAGTGTCCCAACACTTCGTACGCCGGCTATCGCACAACTGCGCGAGCAGGCAGAGCCTGGACCGGAACCGTGTTTTGCAGACCTGGCAGGCGCTATCGGGCAGGCAAAATGTGCGCTGAGGAGCCTTTGCACCGTGCTTCGTCCGCATGTGGGACTTCAGAGCCGGGGCGGAGGCAGAAGAGGATGGGCACCGAGGGCAGCGGTGGGCTGTGGTAAAGGAGCGTCGCGCGAGGGAACGGCGCCTGCTCCCGAGTCGCATGCGGATTCCACAGAATGGATGCAACTACGAGCCTGTGACCACCGGGCAGGCGTGCCGACGATGAGTTTCAGCCAAGGCCCGAAGTCCTTGTCAGGACCTGGGAGTGCAGAGCACGAGGCGGCCGTGCGCCGAACACACCGTGAATCCTTCACAAGTTGTGAGACCCAGGCTCGGGGAGGGCGGTCAGCGCGTCGAGGCAGGAGGGCACGCAGCTCCGGAGGGCCGTGCCGAACAACTCGACCGAGGTATGCCAGCCGCTTGCTCGTGAGGAGGCAGTCCAAAGACGGAGCCTTCAGAATCCAACGCACGTCAATGTCGGTCACGCTGGGGCTGAACCTGCATTCGCCAGCGAGGCGACGGAGGCACCGCATGTACATGGCGTTCAAAATGCGCAGGGCTGCGAGAGAGAGCACGCGAATGCGGACGTTAAAGAACAAGCGGAAGAACACGAGCGACACCAAGAGGCTCCATCGATCAGAAAGTGGGTAAGCCTCGTTGCCATAGACGCGCACTGCCAGCGGGCTGTAGGCCTCAGCGGCTGACACGACGCGAGCCCGGGCTTCGTGGACATTGTCGCCGCCAGCCTCCGTGATGCCGCCGGAGTGCTTGTACTGGGGCACGACCGTGATGTGGTCGGTGGAGCCAGGCACCTTCACCTGAAGAGCGCAATGGGGACCAGCCCTCCTGGCAACGTAATGGGAGGCTGCATTGCGGCCCCTGTAGATGATGCTGCACTCCGTTTTGCCCGGCCTCCAATTGATGACAAAGCCTAACAGTTCAAAGATACCACACAACGACTCGAGCAGGATGTCAGTATGCTGGTCCAAGATAGCCGGGGTCTTGACGCACAGCACCAGACTCGTCATCAACGAAGGCCACGTCCATGACAGGGACCGCGGTGTCGGGCGAGGGTGGGGGGACAGATCCTGCCTCCCCGTTACCCGCCAGGTCGCCGTCAGCGGGGCCACCGGGCCACCCCCAGAGAAGAGGAAGTCTGGGCCAGGGTCGTGGATGCGCAACTCCACGCCGGCCTTGATGAGAGCGTCTCTGAGGAGCAGCAGGCCGATAGAGTACGCGCCGTTGAAGATGGTGCTGCCGTATTTGCAACCTTGCTTTCCGCCAAGGCGCACGCTGATCGCAGTGTCCAGGTCGCCGTAGCTGAGCCAACTCTTGGAGTGCAGATTCTTGATGAGGCGGATAATCTTGTCAGGGACGCCCCACTGCTGCCAGAGTATATCCATATCCGCCGCCCGCTGGGGCACCAGGGCGTCGGTGCCCAGGCGGCGTCGGGGTCATATGACGCGTCTTTGATGGCCGTCGCCCAGCTTGCCGCATGCAGATCATGCCGATGTTGCAAAGTGCAAAGCCCAGACTTGGTGACAGCGTGGGAGGCCCGCGACAACAAGCGAGCCAGGCCAGCCAGACGAGCCGGCTGGACCCACATCCCGGCAGCCGTCCAAGCGGCTACAGCCGCGGGCCGCCGCACAGGACGCGCTGCAGCATACATGAAGCATTCGCGGATCACCCGAGACCCCTTCAGGGCATTCCTCGCCGCACGAAAAAGAGCCCCTGCCTGGCAGGAAGAGGAGGGAGGGACGAGGAGGAGGAGGGGGAAGAGGAGGAAGAGGAGGAGGAGGAGGAGGAGGAGGAGGAGGAAAACGAG